CTTTTATGCGAGTGAAAAATTTGCGTAAAGCTTTTATATGTCCCATTCTATCTTTGGACTTTACGATCATATCATCCACATACACTTCTATTTCTTTATGCATCATATCATGCAAGAGAGTCGTAGTCGTTCTTTGGTACGTAGCTCCTACATTCTTTAAACTGAATGGCATGACTGTGTAGCAATACGCTCTCCAAGGGGTAATAAAGCATGTCTTTTCTTCGTCTTCTTTTGCCATTAAAATTTGGTTGTAACCTGCATATCCATCCATAAAGGATAACATCGCATGTTTAGCCGTGTTATTACCAATATATCAATATGTGGTAGAGGAAAATAGTCTTTAGGGATAGCTTTATTTAGAAACCTAAAGAGACACACATGCGAACTCGTCCATCCTTTTTAGGGACTGGGAAGATGTTTGCTACCCATTCTGGGTAATTACATACGAGAATAAAACCAGCGTCTAACTATTTTTGAACTTCTTCTTTTATTTTTAATGCAACATCAGGTTTCATTTGTCAAAGTTTTTGTTTTACTGGTTTAGAGGTAGGGTTCAAGGGAATGGTATGTTCCGCAATTTCCCTATCTATTCCAGGCATGTCCTTGTATGACCAATAAAACACGTCTTCGAATTATTTGAGCGTCGATATGAGGGTCGATCGCTCTTCCGGATTTAGAGTTAAGCCAATTTTGACTTCTCTTTTATTTTCGTTAGTTCCTATATTAACTATTTCAGTTTCTTCAACAGTAGGGTTCTTTTGTTCTCGTTCATTCATTAGTTCAATAAATTTATTAATGCTATCATCTTCATTAGATTGATTGTTATAGCATTTAAAAGATTCAAGAGAAGGCATATACTCGGAAATAGAGCTCATATTATTAAAATCAAAAGAGAGTACATCAAGAGAAGAATCCTTTTTGGGACCTTCGTCCTTAGAACTAGAAAATAAAGACTCAGTAATGGCCACAAGGCTTAGATTTTCAGCTTCCCTAGAGTTTATAATAGATTCATCGTCCGATTCTTCAAACATCTTCCCTTTGCCTGTGACGACTTTCAGCTTATCGCCTTTGTGATTGGTCCATTTGAAAGATTTCCTCCATCCATGCTCAAAACTTTCGTTTGAAAGGGTGATCAATGAGGTTGGGTCAAAAGCTTCGTCTTGAATAGCGTTTTCATTGGTCATTGTAGCTACATGATTTTGCTCTAGTCCAAATAGCAAGTTAAATGCTTGCCCATCATAGCACCTTGGGATTGGGTGTTTTGATTTAACGATACTAAGATCATCATCCAAGAAGTAGCAATCATGAAATATTTCAAATCCAGGCTTCTTGATTCCTTCTAAAACTAAGGGTTCTGGAAAGTCATAGCATGGGTAATCTTCTCCCTTCCTAATAAATTGCCCATTAAGGGTTTGTTGATAGGATGGTAGTAAGGTGATTATCCCTTTCTTATTATTGTCTCTACGTGCTTTGATTTTTGCATCGTGAGACTCTAATTCTTCTTTGGTTGGTTTATATCCCAATCCAAAGGCATCCCAGGAAAGTAACTACTCTTGAGTAAGATGTTGTTTACTATCCGAGTGGAATATGGATCAAGCTTGAATGGTTCTTCAAAGTCTTTTTCCATTTCAATTGTGAAGATTGGCTCCACGGCGAATCCCCACATGTCCTCTTCATCATTATCATAATTTATTTCTAAGAGTGATTGATCATTTATTGCTATTATGAGTGGAGAAGCATGTATAGTCATAGGAACCCCTTGATAGTTCAACCTAATCATTTGATGAAGTGAGGATGGTATTGCACCAAGCTCATGTATCCAAGGACGTCCAAGTAAAAGGTTGAATGTAGATTTTACGTCCATAACATGGAATTCAACCATCTTTTGAATTGGGCCTGTGGTAATTGTTAGCTTAACATTTTCACACACCGATCTTCTCGAACTGTCATAGGCCCTAATGCTTTGTGTTGTTGATTGAAAATCTTTTTCTGGATTTAGGCCTAAGTATGTTGCCGTTCGTAATGGGCATACGTTTACATCTGACCCATTGTCTACCAAAGTTAGAGGGATATTGTATCCCTTGCATCTCACGTTTAAGTATAATGCATTGTTGTGGGTAGTATCTTTTGAAGGCAAATCATCATTAGTAAAAATGATTGATTTGTCGGATTATTAGTAAAAATGATTGATTAGTTAGAGGGAAGTCGCAAATACGTCAATAAATGATGATGCATTATCATTCCCCTTCTTGTAGTTATTCTTAGGTTGATGATGATTATAATGATGTTTGTTTGCTTTTTCTTTAGCAAGATCATCTTCAATCCTAGTAGCCACATAATAGACCTTTTGAAAAGTGTCTAGACCAAGGTAACGTAGATGTTTGTTGTACTTTTCATGACAGTTGTCAATGAATTTTTGTACTAACTCGAGTTTAGGAGGCCTTTGGGCAAGGTGGGCCGCCTTTTCTCGCCATCTACCATTGAAAGCAAGGAAACCTTCATTGTCGCCCTGCTTAAGCATCTCGAGTTCACGTAAAGTTGACTTGAACTCTATGTTACTCTCATATAGGCACTAGTGGAAAAAAGCTTATTTGTAACAAGCTATTTGTAACGGGCATATGATTTCCCGTTACAATTACATCATTTGTAACGGGAAAAATCCATGTCCGTTACAAATAAGCTGTGACTTGAGCAGGAAAAGATATATTTGTAACGGGCAGATTAGTGCCCGTTACGAATAAGTTGTTATTTGTAACGGGCAAAATAATGCCCGTTACAAATAACAACTTATTCGTAATTGTAGGTGTCGCTCGATGTGCGCCTACGTTAAGCATGTGGTGAATATGCTTGGCACTCATAGGAAGTGGGAATTGACATATACGATTAGAGGGAGCCGCCAACAAATTTTTAAGGAACTTTTAAACCATTCACGGATCATAAAAGGCAACCACGAATAAGGGACAACGATAGGCAACAACGATTGACCCGTGAAGGTTATACCCCATTCATAATCCATGAGATTACTAACTCCATATGGTTCGGAACCACAAAAGGAGGATCGGGGATGATGGTACGAAGTGAGTCGTGGAGTCACATTTGCCAGTATCGGCCTCTACTCGATTCTTTTTATGAAAAGTGATTCCTGCTATCTCAAAGGCATACAAACAAAAATTCAATTTGCTCCAAATTATTATTTTGCTAAATTGGTTGAATATTAATGCAACATATAATTCTAAAATATTTGTGATCACTTGAATAAACAATAAGATTAAAAAGGATCCTAAACCGGTTGTCCAAATTATCTTATTAGTCGTGATTTTCAATTACATATTCCCTTTAAACATGCAATATGGTGATCAATAACAATAATAGAATAAACATTAATATTGGAAGCAATTTAACAATAATAGCGTTATCCAAATCAAATAATAATAATAACAACCCTAATCATGATACTAGAAATATTAAAAATAAAATAAGAGTAATTAAATTAATTAATTACTCACATTCCGCGTGTTCCTTAAATTTGCTACATCATGAATAAATTGTTACTAAATTCAATAAAAAATAAATCAAATGAAAATTAAATTAAATAAATGTAAATTTAATTTGGTCCAAACCCTCAGTTATTTATACCTTTCACGCCTTGATTTAAGGACGGTACCTCGGGTTAAATATAGACTCCTTGGAGCGCTTAGGGGAATTATTATGGAAAAATAAAGAGGTTAGAAATTAGGTTAAAGAGGGAGAAGAGGATGATTTTTGGTGTAAGGTGAGAGAGAATGATTATTGGTTCCCCAAACTGCAGAAACGGGGGTCCTATTTATAGGGAAAATGAGCAGAGGGAACACGCGGAATCCTAAAAAGATAAAAACCCTAAAAAATAACACTGTGTCACGGCAAAGAGCACTGTGACACGGTGCCAGGCACCGTCAGACAGGGGAAGATCCTGTGACACGGTGGAAAACCGAGTGACGCGGGAAATAATTAGGTTACGGGAAGTGAAAACACGTTTAGGGATTACGCGGAGAAAGCACGGAGCAATCCCGTGTCACGGGATGTGCACCGTGAGACGAGAAGAAATGTCGTGACACGGAATTGTCCACTGTGGCACAGTGCAGTATGCGTGTCACGGTGTAAAAAGTACGCGGAAATTACACGGAATATCCCCGTGTCACGGAATGGGCACCGTGACACGGGAACTTGCACCGTGACACGGTGCAAAATCCCGTGACACGGTGCAAAATCCCATGACATGGGAGAAAACTGTGCAGAATTACACAAAAAGCACACCATGTCACGGGAATAATCCCAGTGACACGACAACATTTGCCGCGTCGTGGCGTTTTAGCTGTTGCGCGGTAATTTCAGTTTTTTTTACCCATTTTTAAAATAATCATAACTTTTGATCCGTAACTCGGGATACGACATACAATATATCATTGGAAAGCTTATCAAGTCTACTTTCCAAACCAATTAGAATAAGGTCAAAGTTTGTAGATTTTACAATATGGCCGTTTTAGTGGAAGGGTGTCGGTTTTAGGCCGAGTTTAGTGTTTTGCTCTTATCTTTTTCGTTATAGCTCGGAATTGGGCTTATGATATATGGTTGAAAAGCTTATTTAAAGGCCTATCCAAAAAAATAATAATTGGATCAAAATTTTATAGCCATAAAATCAGTTTCTCTCAATTTTGCGATGTGAACACGAAAAGTGGAAAATAGGTTATGGTTTAGGGAAATGAGCTAGAAATTGGATTGGTTCATGAAATATATTGGATAGAACATGGATTTAAGCACTCCAAAGATTAAATAATCAACCCGACTAATAATGGCGGTTAAAGGTGTTCATCAACGAGTTTGGTTTTGGAGAGACATTTTTAGGTGTCTACAGTAACCAACAGGTCTTGCCCGTTACAAATAACCAACTAGTTGTAACCAACAAGTCTTGCCTGATAAAAATAACCCACTAGTCGTAACAAAAAAGGAATGTCCGTTACGAATAATTTTTCAAAGTAAACCCTAACTTTTTAATTTCCCCTTTCTCATCACTCTCTCTCATCAAAATATTTTCCCTTTCTCTCTCTAATAATATTGAAGCTCAGTTTGGACCTCAGCTCCCTGAACTCCGGCCGATCCTGAGCTCGTCCTCTCCAAACTCCGGTGGTCCTCAGCTCCCTTAACTCTGGCCGTTCCTCAGCTCGGTCCTCTCTAAACTCCGGTGCGCTCTCTCGTCGCGACTCAGCTGCGCTCTCTCCATTGAAGCAGCGCTCTCTACTCCCTCTCTCACGCAGCAGCGCTCTCTCCATTGAAGCAGCTCAAGCTCTCCCTTCCTGATCAAGAAACTCCCATCAATAGCTTCCTGTAAGCTCAATTTGATGCTATGTTTCTCTCTCCTCCCCCTATTTCGTAACCCTTGTTTCAATTTGCTTAATTGCAATCACTTAATTATAGGGTTTTTTTTTTTAATTTTTTTCCGAATTAATTGATTATAGGGTGTTTTTTATTTTTTTCCGAATTAATTGATTGATTTTACATGTTTAATTTGATTTTTTCCATTGAGTGGAAATAAATCTTATATTCATAATGTTTTAGATGGATTCGAATTAAGATTCTAATTTATTTCTGGCTGAAAAGTCCATTTGATTTTTCATAAATAAAATCATAATTAAAGCTCAACTATATACCAAGATTGAATAAGGTAGATTGATATACTCCATAGTAGATATCTGTAGTATAACTTTGCATTTTACTAGATGGAAATGCGAGGGGTAACACGATATTGTAATTATAAAAGGGTGTTATAAATAATAATGTAATTATAATAATATTGAATGGTAAAATAATTATTTCGGGAATAAAACCGGAGAGGAGGTAATGGGTGAGCAATAAAGACTTTCTTACTTTCATGGCTGTTGCTTGGGGTGCGTGGGCCTACAGAAATCCTATGGTGTTTGATAATCCATGGAGTAGCAGCGTGGTAGGGGTAATGGGTTTTGTGAAATTGGTGGAAGATTATGGGAAGTATAAGGGGGCTGTTGGTGAGGTGAGCAGGGGATGTGGTGTAGTGTCTCATAGCACCTGGAAGAAGCCTTGCCCTGGGGTAGTACGCTTTGTTTGATGTGGATAAGGTGGGTTTAGGAGCGATTATCAGGAATGAGGAGGGTAAGATAGTTGCTGCTGCTGTGAAGAAATGTGTAGGCTCTGATTCGGTGAAATTGGCGGAAGCAATGGCAGCTCGCCTTGGCATTGCTATGGCAAAGAGACTTGGGTACTTGAGAGTGGAGCTAGAGTGTGATTCCCTTTCTGTGGTGCAGCTGATCCAACAAAGGAATGAACATAGACGGTCCTTTGATTCTTTTTCTTGCTTTTATATTAGACGAAACGGGAATGTTGTAGCTCATTTAATGGCCAGAATTGAACCTTGTAATGGGGTGGAGCAAATTTTCTTGGACTCATTTCCGTAGGGTGTTACTGCCCTTGCGGAGCTTGACTCTTTGTAAATTGTTTTTGTGTGTTTAATAAAGCTTCCCCTCTCCCGTTTTGCTCTAAAAAAAATTGAAGTTGTTAAGTTTGTTAGCCTTAATTTATGTAATTTTAATTAATTTTTTTGGTAGCGAGGTGGAGAACAATTCTGTTCAACCATGGCTTTTATGAGTTCTATCTTCAAAAACTTACCATTGAGTTTTAATCACTTAATGCATTTTTGTATTGTCTGCAAGAACCGTGTGGAAGTAATGAGTCTGGGATAGCCAGTTTAGTGAGGTTGGGACAAGCTCCAGCGCCTTTATCAGCAAGGGCAAGGTCTGATTTTAGTCTTAATTTTTTACATTTTTGTTGTGGTGTAGTGTATTTTGTTGATTGATTTTGTTTTGTCTTAAAATTTTAACGATGATTTGTTTAGCTGAACCTGATATGAAACAAAGATTGATAGTGTATTAGATAATGTGATTAGCATATAAATTTTGAATCCCGGGCAACATTTTGTTTGAAAAACAAGTGATGATGAAGAATGAGTATTTTAATTGGGTGTGTTCAATGAAGAATGAGTGTTACTATGTAAGAGGATAGGAAATGATATTTACGTGACGAATTCCTAAGAATTAGAGGTAGAGGTGAATATTTTTCTCGCATTTGGAAATTTTGAAGTATGTTGTACTATATTTGGATATTTTAAGTGTATAGTTTCATTGGTTGGTCTATTTTATTTTATGTGCATAATTTATTTGCATCAAATATCAAATTTTCTTTCTTAGGTAAATAACTCATGTTTATATGTTTGGTTACTTTTGTTAGTTATGCACTTTCGCTGCCCTGAATAGCCCCTCCTTTGTTCTTTGGTCTAATTAGGTTTAGTAGCAATCACTCGTTATTGAATTCGAGTTTTTGATTAATACCATAGCTATCTAGATAAATTGAAGAATAAAAGTATAGTTCCGTTTAGTTCCGATTAGTTCCGATCAGTTCTGAAATTTCAGTTCTGATTAGTTCCGATCAGTTCTGATCAGTTCCGATCTGTTCTGAAATTTCAGTTCTGATCAGTTTCGATCAGTTCTGAAATTTCAGTTCTGATCAGTTCCGATCAGTTCTGATCAGTTCCGATCAGTTTTGAAATTTCAGTTCTGATCAGTTCCGATCAGTTCTGATCAGTTTTGAAATTTCAGTTCCGATCAGTTCTGAAATTTTAGTTCCGATCAGTTCCGATCAATTGTGATAAGTTCATTTCATGCCTTTTCTGTTTATTGCTCGAGTCCCCGCCTGTTATCATGTTCACTGCCATCTTTGTTCTATGCTGATTAGTTCTGATTAGTTCTATGCATATTGCTTTATATGCTGATCAGTTATGATCAGTTCTATGCTTTATATGTTGTAGGCTACAAGTCTCTCTATTTATGCATATCATTTTTTTCCTATTCAAGTTCTTGTTCTGCCATATCTTATATATGTTTTTTTTTTGGAATAGTTGGAAAACTTGCAAAAGAATGTTGTAGATTATTTTGTTCAAAGTGTTAGAATGTATATTATTTTTGTAGGGCTTATAAAGTATATCGGGCGAATCTCACAGGGAGTGAATTGAAATCACATAGGCAAAAATTGAAATTCATACAAATGGAGGTAAATACACTACTCACCCCATATTGTTATACATTGTTCACTTTGAAAACAAAATTTTTAATAATTTGTTATATATACTAGTGCGCTCAACAACAAGGAGGCGTTGAATGTGGCTACTACATTATGAGATACATGTATGAGATTGTTACTTCTCACTTGGAGTGCAAAGGTGTCTTAGAGGAGGTTAGTAGTTTTTTTGCAAATTTTGAAGCCTTTTTTAGCTCTATACGCTCCCAAAAGTGAGATAATGGTCAATTTTTATTGATTTCAATTCACAGAAACCAAAATATAAGTTAATTAAGGATGTTATGTGTTATATTGTGTTAATTTGAACCAATACAGGAAAGATGGGAAAGATAGAAGCCCCTTAGTCAATTTTAAAGCCTTTTTGGGCTCTAAACGCTCCCAAAAGTGAGATAATGGTAAATTTTAATTGATTTTAATTCATAAAAACCAAAATATAAGGTAATTAAGGATCTTATGTATTATATTGTGTCAATTTGAACCAATACATGAAAGATGGGAAAGATAGAAGTCCCTTAGGCAATTTTAAAGCCTTTTTGGCTCAATACGCTCCCAAAAGTGAGTTAATGAAGGATGTTATGTGTTATATTGTGTCAATTTGAACTAATACATGAAAGATAGGAAAGATAGAAGTCCCTTATGCAATTTTGAAGCCTTTTTGGCTCTATATGCTCCCAAAAGTGAGTGAATGTTCACTTTTCATTGATTTTAATTCATAGAAATAAAAAAAAGTTAATTAATGATTTTATGTGTTTTATTGTGTTAATTTGGACCAATAATGAAAGATGAGAAAGATAGAAGTCCCTTAACGCAATTTTAAAGCCTTTTTGGTTCTGTACGCTCTAAAAGTGAGTAAATGTTCACTTTTCATTCATTTCAATTCATAGAAATCAAAATATAAGTTAATTAAGGATGTTATGTGTTTTATTTCTATATTTTGAGTTTTATTTCTATAATTTGGAACATCACATTTATTCTAATGATTGTTTTTATTATGGATTGTTTTTATTTTGTAACCTCATTCATATGTTTTTTTTTCAATAGGATTTTTGTTCAAGGACAGCCCTGTATGATGTTGACGAGTTGAATGTGGTTCGAGAACAGTGGGCGCAATACTTTAGAAGTAAATATTTATTGAATGCATAACTATTAGCTTAGGTAGAACAAAGTAATATTTTTAGTGTTGTATGTTGTATATGTTGGATAAATTTATACAAGTTTTTATTTGTAATGTGTTACTACTTCAATTTTTATATTACGTCGTATTAATTTTTACGAAAGATTGTTCGATATAATTGTTTATTTACAGGAACAGGTTTATTATAATAGGTTTTAATTAATATATATTAATTATATATAAATACATGCTGTCGAAATTTAATAAAAAAAAATAATAATTTAATGATTATTTGTAACAGGCAGGAGATTTGTCAGTTACAAATAACAACGTATTCGTAATGGGCATTTTTGTTGCTCGTTACAAATAAGTGTTTAAATATATAATATAAAACTTTATTCGTAACGGACATTTAAAATGACAGTTACGAATAATCACTTATTTGTAACGGGTGTTTGAGGTGCCCGTTACGAATAAGGACTTATTTTAATACAAGAAAGGATTTATTTTTTACTAACATTTCAAATATCCGTTACGAATAACCCATTATTCTGTCGTTGAAATTTTAGTTACGAATAAGGGGTTATTCGTAACGGACATTTGAAATGTTAGTTACGAATAAGGGGTTATTCGTGACAGCCGCATACGTAACGGACGCTGCCCGTTACGGATGGGCCCTTTTTGCCCGTTATCGATGGCCTTTTTTCCACTAGTGTGGGTAATGAAAGCCAAAACTACATCTTCCCATGTTGCTTTGAATTTTGGATCTAGCCCATAATACCACTCTCTCGCGGTTGGGTCTAGGGATAAAGGGAAAGTCAAAGCATAAAGCTTAGGATCAACTCCCTTTAGTGCCAATAGTGCCAGTAAAACACACTAAATGATTTTGTGGATTATTGGTCACCTTAAATATTGGATAGTCCGTAGCTACGAACTATTCCGGTAAAGCAAGTCCTGGAGGATGAGCAAACTTTTCTGCGTCAAAGTACTTGTTCCCCATTGTAGAACGAAGAACTAGCTTCTCCAAGAACTTTTCTTTGATGGATAATTGTTCCATCTTTTCTTGCAAGGCTAAGGCTTCAACATTTTTCTTTTTAGTCTTTTCTATTTTCTTAATTCTTCTCTCCTTGGCTTCTTGAGCCTTTTCCTCTCTCAAGCGAAGAATCTCTTGTTGAAGTTTTTCGATGGTTGGCATTGTTGTTGGACTAGGATTAGTTGTCGAAGAAAAGTGGTTTGAAAGGGGTTGATCTTTGGGTGGTAAACGTAGAATGGGAGTGCCCGAGGGTCCTCTTTCCCAAGCTTGAAAATCGGCCTTAAAGGAGTACGAAAAGATAAGTAAATCGATATGCTAGTTTTAAAAAGAAAAAAAAAAAGACGCAAAATATATTCAAACGGACATCACCCTCAACAATTTTTCAATGAAGATATTGTTCGGACGAGTCAATTTGTTTTTTGAGAAATCAAAACTGACTCATCCAGTGGGCGCGCGCAAATGACTCAGTTGCGCGCGACTGTCGCGCGCAACGAAATCACTTGTCTGGGAAGGGTCGCGCAACTCATTGAGTTGCGCACACCACCTGCTCGTAGAATTTTTTTTAATTCGAACGTTTTTTTTCATTGTTTTTTTTTATTCGATTTTTTTTAACTTTTTTTAATGTTATCCTTTGAATATGACGCTAAATCACGAAGAGACAACTTCATAATTGGGAACCTAGACCAAACTAAAAAGAGAAAAAAAATAAAAAAATAAATAAAAGAAGACTATCCTAACACGTTGCACATAGTCACATAATCACACAAGCATGCCATAAGTCAAGATTCACGCAATGCCGTTCTAAAGTCAAAAAAGGCTTGGGTGTCCAAAGGTACCATATCTTAAGAAACGACGCACAAATCAATCACTCAACTTGTTGACTCATGACATCGCCCTCCCAACATTTTGTTGGTGATATGGGTGGGATGATTGTTATTGATTTCGGGATAGAAGCCCAGTGTTGGCGACCCCTAGTCAATGAGCCAATCCCCAATGGTTTAAGTGTGCTATGCTTATGCATGATGCAATGTTGCTTGTTTGGTGTTTACTCTTGTTCAAAAGGAAGATATTATGCGTTCAAGTCTTGCTATCTATCTAGAGATTATCCAAGTTAATTCTCGTTACAACCCATAGGCAACCTAGTGTTGGAAACCTTGGACCATAACTACGAATTAATCATGTAACCTCTAAGTCTCCAGCAAAGTCGCCACTGTAAGGAGGGTGATCCCATCGTAAGGGGTACTGTAACACCCCATATTTTTGAACTAATAAATTTTGAATTATTATGTGTATAATGTTGTTTTCTATTCAAATTATAATACTTTTAATTTATGATTGATAAGAGTGTAAAACTAATTTGAAATGTTACTTGTTAATTATTTATTTACGGTCTTTAGTTGAGCCGGTTGAGGCGAATTATATCGAGGTTACTCTTATGGACCGAATCAAATCTAGGTGTTTGGCTATAACCTAGGAGGTGTTTGGGCTGATTTGGGCGTGGGATTTGAGTGGTGTGCTAGTATTTGAGTTGGTTTTGAAAGTTAGATATTGGATTCTTTCATTTGACTCTTTAGTTGCCAAGTTAATGCTCCCCTTAATTCTTGCCTTCAATTTATATTCTCTTGCTTCTTATAACACCCAAACCCATTATATTTTCTGCCCTCATTAAGTAAATAATCAACAATTTCCTTTCCCATTGACCTTGAGAATCAATCCTCAAAAGTATTTGCACTCTTCCTTCATTCACCTCCATAATACATCTCCTTCTTCCTCAATTCTTGTGAAACCGTTGCTGGGTTTTATTGTTGCAAGGATCGTCATACTTTCCCTCTTGATTTGGCTGTGAAAAATAAGTAAGTATAATGGGTTAAACCCTTTCCTTTTTCGTCCCCTCGTGTATGGTTTGTTATACATACATCTAGTTTATTTCAACCTTGTTTTGTATAGGTTTTTAAGATCATCAAGAGGACTAGTTTGTATTGATTTTTTCTGGTTTCTTGGGTTTTATCGGAAGTTTATCAAGGTAACTAGCATTATTCCTTTACTTTAGAAATCAAGGTTGGGTTTAGGAGGGGTTAGATACGTTTTATAGGATTTGTGGTTCGAGTTTCGGTTGCGGTTTTACATAAATTTCCATGCGCGTATCTTGAGTGGTGTTTGACAGGTTTTCCTTCCTTCCATGCTTAATTTAGTTTGATATCTATGCTTGGTTATTACGTAATGTTCTTATGATGATTTCATGGTGTTTATGAATAATTTTGTGAGTTATAAGATGTGATAAATCCAAAATAATTGTAGCCGCTGCCTATAGAAGTTGTGCGTGTGTTTGGGGCTACTTATCATGTTATCTGACTACTTATCATGTTATCATTAGGGATTATTTTTAGATTGTTCAAGTTGTGAATAGGTGGATCTTATCATGGTTGTTAGGCCTTGTAAGTCTAAAAACGTTACTGCAGTTGCTGTCAATGTTCCATGGGTTTACAGCTCTATTTTTCCTTGATTTGCTTGGTTTTTGTGTCTAATATGGTATATCATCATGTTAGGTATATCCCTAAGTTAAATTATCATGTTTTGGGGAGAGTTTTGATGTGATTATAAGCCTAAAACAAAGCAAGGTGCTGCTGCCAGGTTAGTTTGTTAGGTGCGTGAATTGAGTGGTTTAAAGTGATGTATTGCAGAATATTTATGCCTAATCTTGTGTCTATCCTGACCTATGTTATTTTTAGAGTGTGTGTAATAATGGGCTAAGGCTAATTGGGAGTTTAAGGGTGGTTTTGGGTGAATTTGTTTTGCAATGTGCTGCTGTACTTCTAATTAGGGGCTGCTACTTTGTCATGTTGTTTTTACCATATTTAAGACATGAATTTATGCCTATCTTTTACATATATATTGCTTAATATGTGGTTGAATATGTCATAGTTTGATTTTATCATTTTGGCATGAAGTATGTAATTGTGAATATTAATTTAAAATCATGCGTTCTAGTGAGTTGATTTTTTTTTTTCTTTTACATTCTATTTAATTAATTCTTATGCTATAATAAAATGACTTTGAAGTGTCAAGTAGTCGACGTCATTGTGCTTTAAAGTAGAATAACACTGTTTTTAGCACCGCTTCGACAAGGGTTGTGTACGGAGTGTATTGTAATATTTTGTTATAATTAGCTTTGTACCCAAATCTAGACAATAAGAGTGACACCTTAGTATGTGTAGACACCCATTTGTGTCTCCCCAAAACCAAACCCAGTGATGAGTACCTTTTACGTCGAATCATAATCGAATGAAATGAAAGTGTGTAAAGTTTAGTATTGCGGATAGTTTTAATTTCTTTTCTCTTCTCTCTATTTTTGAAAACCTATTTTAAGAAAACCGCCAATCCAGTTTGGTTGGTCCATGATATGGGTCCAATAATATGGGGCTTGAAATGAGCTTTCCAGCGATATATTATAAGCCCAATTCCGATGAATATTGAGGAAGTTATGGCCAAATTACTGAACTGGGCCTGGTTTGAGCCTTATATGCGGCCCAATGATCTAGAGGAGGGCCTAATATGGATTTATCATTCCCAATGCAATTAGCAATGGTTTTAGTCTTCTAGATTCTTCTAGAAGGTTCTTTTCATTCCTAATACAATTAGCATTGATAAATTGACTTTTGTTGACTTTTTAGAGTTTTAATCAGAATAAAAGAATGTTTTTGAAGAAAATAGGATTTTATCCTCCTGTACGATAAATTTCTATCTGATTTTAGAAAAACGCGTCAATAATTAAGTTAGCGCCAAACGCCAGCATTAGCGCCTGACGCTAAGCTTGGCGCCTTACGCTAATGTCAGCGTCTGGCGCTAACCTCGTTTTTGTGCGTCAGCACTCTATTTCGATTTTCTATCTTTTTGGCTTATTTTCTCTATAAATAGCCTTCTAAAAACTCCGTTTTCATTCACCAATTCTCACGAATATTCACCAACTCTCATCAAGAATCTCTTGATATTTTCTCTCTCTCTTTTCTAAACTAGCCTTTCTCAAAATACAAAATTTCGCACTCGCAAGACCTAGATACATCTAACCATATTCGAAGTTGCCTTCGCCCTAGACGTGAAAGGTTTTAATTTCTGAGGGTTTGGTCCCA